ATGGAAGACGCCACAACTTAAAACAAAACTCCTATACTTATATTAAAACAATTGAATCTCAAAACCATTGTTAAAAAACAACAATCAATGGATAATTCAATTCATTGTTACGGTGAAGTTCAAGAAGAAAAGAAAACGAGAGGATTTGGCAAAGGTCTAGCAAGAAGAAAGGATATTTGAAATGATCGATTCAAGTTTGGTGCAGAAAGTTTTGGCGACTCGATCATTGGTCTTCGATGTTCAGCTCGAAAGAAAATAGTTGCTCAACTATTCAACAACTCAGGTGAGTCTTCATGACTCGTTTTCCCCTACACGGTTAGTTTTGTTACGATTTACACAGTTTAATTGTTATACATTAATTGTTTAAATCGTTTAGCCATTGTAGATATGATTGCTATTGTTATTTATATTACTCACATGTGATAATTATTATTAGGAATAACTCGATTTAGCTCAGTGGTACTCAACAATAGTTACATAGTTCAGGATTATAAAGTCTGAAGATTTAAGACTTACAGTTCAGAGTTAAAAACTCTGAAAACTTATACTTCAGATCTAAGACTTATAGGGGGTGTTTGGGGTTTCTTATTTGAAACAACTTATGTTTTTCTACAAAAGTTATTATCAACTTATTATAAGTTAGAATAATTTAACTTTTTTAAAAACTCTTTATTACCGGTTTGACACTGGTATAAGCTGTTTATCCAAACACTCAAAAGTGTTTATTACCAATGTCACACCGAAATAAGTCCATAAGTTGTTTTTCTAAACACTCCCAAACACCCTTATAATTAATAATTATAAAGTCTAAAGACTTAGGTGGCGTTTGCTTTTTAAGAGGTGCTGAAGTCTAAAGTTTGAATTCACTTCTGATTTTTAAGAGGTGGTGCTGAAGTCTGAAATCTGAATCAGTTAGACTGTTTGTTTTTTGCGTCTGAAATCTGAAGTTTGAAGATGAGAGATCGAGAGTTGATATGGATCGACAATTGACAAAGTTGAGAGATGAGAGATCGAGACAGAAGAGTTGATCTAGAAAAATCGAGTGCAAAGAGATCAGAGTAGGTAGGCAACAATTTGAAATAAGAGGTTTCGCAAGTCCTTACATGTTGGCGTAGATGGTTAAGTCGGCGGAGAAGAAGCATAAACATGGGAGGTTATGGTAGTTGAAGATATCAATTAGTTTGTGAACATACCTCGCAGCTGTAGTAGAAATCTTATATCCAATTGATTTATCAGAACACTGCATTTTTGAACCACGAGGAACAGCGTGAAACACATATTTTCTAACCCCCCCAAACTCGCCTGTCCTGTGCTTCCAGACATGGACACATTCTGCAAGCTCAAATTTAGACAATCAAATTTTTGTTGAAGACATTTGTAATATGTGTAACATGGAAAGAACTTATGTTTAAAAAAACAATCATCTGTGACCCTGCAGAATCGTGACAACATAATACCATAAGCACATCGTACATAAAGACATTAATCTATTTCTTTTGAGGTAATTTAACAAGTAGCATAAAGTAAGAAACCAGTGACAAAACCTGATAAACCACATTCCTTAGAAAACTGGATGGTGTAAGCCTTCTTAATGAGTTCAGTTCATTTTATGGCAACAAAACTATGAATGCATTCCATCGCCAACTCCTAGAAACAATATTTTGTGATTTGATCAAGCAAAAGCCATTCATAAGCATCAACAAACGGGTTATGCACTGGCCCAATAGTAGGAGTAATAATCTAGAAGGGGTAGTTCGGGTATTTTGATCCTAGAATCTGTCATGGCTGTGAATAAATAGGGATCATCCGGAAAATGGTCTAGAGTTCTGTTTAGGAGAGACTAGCCTCTCAAATGCTAGAAACTGTTCCTTTTTATAGTTAATTGAATCACCAGTCACTTGTTCTTATCTCCTGGATATAAATTCCATTGTTTATTCGCTCCAATTCATAACAAACGGTACTTACTTCTACTTGCTCAAAGGAGTCCCTTCAGGACTGCAATAGTCAGAACATCATCGCAAAATGAAATCAACGAGCCTCCAAGATTTGTTGGTAAAGCAGAACAATTGAACCTACATCACCAAAGATAAACCGAACAGAGAAAGAAGCCAATTCTGCGATGAGACATGCAATAACGGCATAACGCTGTCATTGGTGCACAAGAATTTTGAAGCCTCTTAACTGGAAATATTCTAGTGGATTATGTTTATATTTATCATAGGAGTTTATAGTTCGACTAAATGCCGGGGTTCCTCTTTTCGAGTCCCAATATCAATATATCACTACTTAAAACACACAACTTAACGAAATATAACAAAAACACATGAAACCTTGTGTGATAAAGCCGCCAAGATGACCCTGCAATATGACCTACACGTCCCCTTCAAACTTGACAAAAAATGAACACATATGAACAGAAATCCTGAAGAAGATATAAACGAGAACTTGAAACACGTCTAGTTGATGAACCTGCATTTGAAGCTCGACTTTGGAAACATGAACATTTGACCATTGAGGTGCAATTGAATAAACCATCATCTCCACAACAAGCAGAAGTCCTCCTAAATATGAAAAGCACACGGTCGATAACAAAAAAAAAACTCGAGGACGGGGCAGGAATAAAACCTTCACCACTTAACTTGCCTCAATAAATGAGATTTGTGACCATTCGTCACATTGACTCTGCCAAGGACGGTAACAGTAGCAA